TCCATGCTTTCCTTCTTTTTCCACTGGCCTTGAGACTTTTTTCCTGGGTTGCTATTGAACTGTCGACGTTCTCCGGCTGTTTTTGAATGCTCGGGTTTCCTTGCCCACTGATTCGCTTTGCTTCCGTAGCCGTGTGCTTGAGTTTGCTGTAGTCTTGGCGCACCAAATTGGTTTCGCTGTTGATATTGGCGTCTTCTTTCGACGTCCGCCGTTCTTCTACTTTCAAACTGGATTGCTAGCTCAAATAACTTTTCCAGTGTAGTCGGATTTCTCAATTCAATAAAGTCTTGCACTTGGGGCAGTAACCTCGGCAAAATCACTTTAATTATTTCAGGATCCGGACGGTTTCCATACAAGAGCTTGAAGACGTGAATTTTTCTTAAAATAAAGCTTGAGAGGTTTTCGATTCTTTGTTGATATATACTAAAAAGTTCCGTTTCTAATTTCGCACGATCCCTTACAACAGGGAAGGCTTTCAGTAGGGCAGTCTTGAAATTCTCGTAAGTATAGGTGGGACTTCCTGCTTGACCCAAGAGACTTCTGCCTATACATTTGAACCAGTTAAGCGCTTGGCCCCTCAAAGCGCTGGTAGCTAAGGTAACTTTTTGAAACTCGTGCACGGGGTAGAGCATGAAGTGGTCATCCAATTTTTCCAAAAAACTGGTTACCGGTGAGTTTCCATTAAATGTTTGCTTCTGGTTTCATCGAAGCGCGCATGGTCTGGACGATGTAACCAAATCCTTCCAGGGCGGCAGCTGGCATTTCTGGATTCTGAGCCGTTTCTGCAGGCAGCACAGGTTCTTCTTGAAACTCGGCCATGGTTATTCTTCTTCGTTGGGCGCCACTATCAGGTTCAATGTTCCTTCTAACCTTCTTCGGGAACATGCAAGGACCTGACTCGGAACAGAGAGCTTACTAAAGCTATGTTCACTAATTGTGGGAAGTAGACAGGATACACAAGAAGGGTATACAAAACCCTTTATTTTTCTCTATTTACAATAACTTCCGTACTTCGGAATACACCGACCCGCTACTTGGGGTCTAACGTAATAATATAAAATAAAAACTAAACTCTAATTTAACTTTAAAATAATAAACGTGGAAGATTGGCCTTATATTAACAGGAAGCGTATGTAGTACAGAGAACTGTGAACACTACAATACGTTTAAATTTATCAAGAGGATTAAAACCTCCGGCCTGGAAGGCAACCAGCAACTGCGTAACTTCTAAGGTAAGCGGCCTGCTTCGACTCACTGCTTCCTCTCTCTCACTTGGCAAAAAGCCACAACTTAAATACTTGGCGTTCGCCAGACAAACTTTGCATAAAAACCTTAACGCTTATAATTCTGGCCGGAAGTAGAAAATAAGAAGTGATAGTAAAGATTTAAAATAAAATAAACGTTAGTAAAACTTAAGATCCTTACAAGCTCATTTACGAAAACAGCTAATAAATTGGAAAAGCTGATTCGATCAGATTTTACGGATTTCGATAATTTAGAAATTTTTTTACATTAAATTTACGAAAAGTATAAAACTCTACGAAATACTGATGACTCTGTTTTGGAACTTCTGCAGAAAATCGACTGCACTCAAAAAGAATACAAAGGAGAGCTTAGTGCAGCTGAAGAATATTACGATAAATTATTTACGTTAGTCACAGAGAAAAGAAAAAAAAAATCTGTGTTCACAGCCTTCTACGGGTGCAACGAATGGCGATACACTTACTTACCCGTCTGACGATACTCAGATCCCTAGCCTTTGAATCCTGAAAAATGTTTGCATGAAATTACACTGTCGGCTGTGCCTGTCATTGACAGTGTGGATAAAGGAAAACTAAGAGCGAAATTATCTCCAGAGAATGAGAAAATTGTTAAGAGAGAGATTTAACTCTCAGTATCTAGGGAAATTAAGGCAGCAGCAGTGTGTCCAAAATTAGAAAAATAATCTTCTCTCCTTAGGAGAAATTTTCCTAATTCGAAAGCTACTGGCGTTTTTCAGTATCGACTCAGGTTTATAAATTTAGATCTCAAGCAACAATACTTTTTATAGGTATATAAAATAAAATGAAACATTTCAAATAATGTAAAAATTGTTGAAAAGACTGTTTATGAAATGCTTAATAGAGGAGTTTCTAAATATTTTAGAGGCATAATAAGTAAATATGAGGTAATATTAGAAAGTGATTCTTATTCCACGTAATAATCAATATTTGCATATTATTATTGTATACACATATACAAAATATATAAATAAGTAAATAAAATATAAAATGAATTTAGGATTTCATAACAATGAAATTTAATATCTTTAATTATAAACTTCACTAGTAGAATTTTGCTCGTATACATGTTTAAATCGATGCTTTTCAAACCCTACTAGACTGACAAGCGAGGTATCGTTCCACTCTGAATTTAAATGACAAAGTCTTAAGAAGGTTGAAATAAGCTGTTTATTTACTCTTTATATTTAACAGAAGGCGCTATTTGTGCTACAAGACGAAAGTCCGCCACTTGCTGATATATAAAGTAGCATAAACTGATATTAAAAAATTTTAGGAACGTACTCCGAAACTACGCAAAAAATCTCAAGCTGGTTCAAGTAATTAACTACGCACTTTGAAGTCGGCTAGCAAAATGGCTAAAGCCGAAATAAACTTCGTCAGAACTTGCGATAGGACATGAAGAGCAAGCCAGAAGTTCTCACTCTAAAACATTCAAATCCTCGGCATAAAAAGTATAGTAGTTTCAAATCATAATAATTGGTTAATTAACATAAAATCCTACACACTTTAAAACATTTTTAGGAATAAACGTATCTATTATATATTTTTTGAAGAATAAATGCAAACGATTTGAAGTGCTCTTATTTAGATAGAAAAAGCTAGTTAAAAATGCATTTATTTTTCGGTCAGTCACCGATTATGAAAGAGTCTGAAAGAACGTTATTTGTAATAACTACTGTTTGATATTTTAGTGGTAAAAAGATAATTTTTGTTAGTATAATACATAAGATATTCGGCTTGGTCTGCCGCTTCATAATTACTTAGGGAAAGAAGAGTTATTGGAGCGTAACGTGTTACTTAACTCGAAACGACCACGAATGATTAAGTAGAGCTAAAAACCTGGGCTTACTGAATGGGAATAAAATCTATCACTATTACACTGGCAAGTTCAAAATCATTTCTGTATTACTGGGAAAGTTGTTCAGGCGCTATAAAAATACTCAGAGACTAGAAAAGGAAAACATTTCTCAAACGCTATAAAATGTAAGAAATAACATCTAAAACTATTACAGTTTTCATACATTCATTGCGCTACATTTGTTTTATTGTGTTTTTTATTTTTATTTGCAAATATCAGTTACTAAATATTACTGAAAGGTATATTTCTTTCATGTAGCTATCGATCATCTTTTTTAAAACCTTCTTGTTTTGAAGAAAATTATTCAAACTCCTCTCAGCAGAATAAAATACTTCATTCAAAAAGTTCAGAAAATGAATTCACAAAAGTATTCGGACACTTTGAATAAACAGTTCATATTTAATAAAAGCATGAAAATAAGGAGACATTCAATATTTAGTTGGATATCCTTTACTTAAAGTAACACTTTTTATGTGCTTTGGTATCAATCCAACTAATGTTTTCCTGTAACAATGCTCCATTTCCCCCCTATTCCTCCCCAAGAATTATTTTAGTACTTTCTAAGGCATATCGTGTTTCATTATTCTTTTCTCCAACTCACTTTTCATGTTCGATAGGATTTAAGTACGAAGAATATGGAGGAGTTTTAATAATTTCTGAAGAGTTATTTAATAGCTATAAGCGAACATTTAGGGCTGTATGTTTAGGATCGTTATTATCACAGAACATGAATGTATTTTGCATTCCAAGTTTTGTTGCAGATACTTTGAGGTTTTCTTAAGAATATTTATTTATATTTATGTTCATCCATATTACTTTCTACAGAAAAAGACTTTCCATCTCAGAGGGCGTTATCCTCAAATCGTTATGCGGCCAACCCCCGTTAGGCAATCAGTACTTGGAACTCAATTTTTCATTTGGCTTTTACCCATTCAGCTTTCCCATCGCATCCAAATATATTATTATTTTAATATGATAAACTGTATTTACTGTGGATTCTGCAACCGTCAGGGATATTTTCCTTGTTTTCTTGCTGATGAAGAATTTCCTTCTTGTTAATCGCCTACTTTATCCATATGCCTTAATGACACATGGAATGTGGACGACTTCAGTGTATTTACAATAGTTCCCCGCAGTTTCCATTGTTTTATAAAATTAGGTTTGGGGAATATTTCGAGTACTTTTATCATCTTTATAATGATGAATAATTAAACTTTTAAGACAATTTATCTGTAATTTATAGCGTCTTGCCACAATCCTTTTAGGTGTGGAACATTTAATGTATTTTGCTAAACAAATAATAATTTCTATATGCAGACGATAATTATTGTGGTGTGTTTTCATTTAAAATAAAAAACATATGGCAAGAAACATCTTATGCCTAAACATTTCAACAAATATTTCGAATGTCCGAATTATTATGTAAGTTACTGACTAACACTATTTGAATAAATTATTTTACTAGAAAGAATATTATTTTGATGACATTTATTTTGCAAAAAAGCAAGGCTTGCAATAGAGAAAAAATAATGTGTTAGAAAACTATTTGAAGGCTTGTATTCATTACTTGGTACAAGATTTATGCAAATAAATTTCAACAATACAAGTTTCAGAAAACACATGTATTTCAGAAAACACCGTAGAACTTATGCATCGCAAATAATTGGACATTACAATTTTGACTTAAAATTTATCAAATGAAATCTGATTTGAGGCATAAAATAGAATTTAGAAAAAAAAATATATTAAAATTATTTTAAAATGCATCCCCGAAATTTAGGTATTTTTTCAGATATCAGCCAAAGATATTTAATTTTCTTGTATAAAATAAGTTTAAAATAAAAAAAAAAATCACTTACCAAACGAAAGCAATGCGAAGACAGCAGGTATGTAGAATATTACAGCCATATTTCTGCTGAAGAAAACGTATGTTAGTATGACTATAAAATAAATTCAGTTTGAAAATTAGAGAAAGAAGGTTTAGAAGATGTTAGAAGTGCTCATGAAGGCTGGAATACTGCGCTTCCCTGTTCACAAACATGGAACTAACACAATCGCGCAAGAAGTTATATTCGCGGACAATAGAAATCTGGCAACAGCAAATATTCAGACGAATGAATCCTGGGAATCTGCAAGTTTGTGTCGCTCGTTAAGGCTATTTATGCTGATGCTGCAGAATGACTTTTTATGCGGTTAAAATTGCGGCTTGCTGAAATATTTATCTTTCATTTAAGAGTCGGAAATGTGAAATCCAACGCAATCACTTAGTGCAACTTTTCAGGAAAGAAATGCATATCAGTAATATCAGCAACTGATATATTTTGAAATATATAGAATAGCCTTGAAGGCGATGACTCCTTTTTTCTGTATTTATCCTTACGCATACATTAGTATGTGTAATATTTGTAATCCTCACAGAAATTCTGCCTTGAATTTTTTATATATCTTTAGGATTCAGAACGCAAGGATATATAGAAATAAAAGCTGGCGTTCAAAGTCACATTCCAACAAAACTACATTTACTCCTATCACAGAAAATAAATTATATAATGTCCACTGGGAATATACATGTAGTTTGTAGTTTTATCAACCTAAACCCGTGTTCTCAAATTCAGACTGCATGCAGGCCGAATGCACAGTTTAAAAACAGCTGACGGGACAGAATTGTTTTAGCAAAATAGATATATTTATCAACAAAATAAAAATAAATATACGAATAGGAGAAGTTATAGCAAAGAACTAAATCATAATAGCTGGTTAGTTTCAAATAATAACAACCCTACAAATATTTTAGCTGAATTTTAAATTTATCTTGCTAAATATAACAAAACGTACATGAATAATAGTAACAATATCCCAAAAGAAAAAGATTCATATTGCTATTTATTTTCTATCTGAATTCTAAAGTTTGATATTGTAAACCAGGTGTTCTAAACGGTGGTACGCAAAGAAAAATTACTTTTAACTATTAAATTCAAAAACCTGGTGAAGAAAAAGAAAAATTGTTTAAATGTATAAGCAGCTAAATATCAAATTCTCAGATTAGCATTTCTTTCATGTAATTCTAACATGTTTAATTAATAATTAATTAAATTACTTTAATTTAAGCTAAAAATAAAAAAAAAATAGAAAAAACTCTCTCAGTTTCAGAGAAAATTTAACAAGGGCTGAAAAACTTGGGAATAAATAATGATTACCTAGTCTCTTTCTCTTATTTATTAAATTTTTCTTGGAGGTGTAAATAAAAATACGTATGTTTGTATGCAAATGATTATAAGTTTCTTTATTTCTTACTACGGCTTTACACTTGATTGCGTTTCGATTCTGATGAAGTTGCCTTAGAGAAAAATGACTAGACATTAAATTCATCAAGGATTGCAGATGCCCATCGTTCTATCGGATTCTTTTTTTTTTTTTATAAATTTTCAACTGTGAAAACATCTGCTCACATATAAATGTATTCCTAAACCAACGACTACTCTTAGAGCAAAAATTCGTAATTGAGCTTATTTATTTTTTGAGAAGCATTTGTTATACAGCTAACATGCATAGTTTTAAGAATGAATGTTGTTGATTCTGCAGTTTGCCATAGTTCAAAATAATGATTTTTCTCACATACATATAAAAAAATAAAAGGATTAATGATAACGTTAATCAGATCTCTACCTTCAAATCTTTGAATAAGATTTAGTATATTACACTGTAAATGAAATAGCTCCATTTAATAGCTTTTATCGTGTATTATTTATTTTCGTTTTTAATGGAAACGAACATAATGTAAACTCAGACTTCAAATTGTAGAGACATTAGGTTAATGAAGATGATAAATATGTAATCACCTTCGCCGGGAATCGAACTACCGACCTCTGGAATACCGGCCCAGCGTGCTACCGTTACACCACGAAGGCACGCTAGGGAAGTGGGAGAAATACCTTATAAAATAACTGAAATCTAGGAATCTTTGCAACACCGTATTTGAAAAAAATACATAATAGAAATGTATTCGCTGTCCTAGTTTGAGACCACTGATCTAAAATGCGTCTCTACAAGAGAAAATTTTCAGCTACAAAGTGATAAAAATACAACATCGCATTTAAGACTGAGTAAATGGAATATTATTTTTAAACAAAGAAAAACACATGCTACCAATTATTTAAGTGGTTCAACATTTGTTATACAGCTAACATGCATAGTTTTAAGAATGAATGTTGTTGATTCTGCAGTTTGTCATAGTTCAAAATAATGATTTTTCTCACATACAAATAAAAAAATAAAAGGATTAATGATAACGAAATCGAATAATTTTGTTATGTTGTAAGGTACCTCACTTTGGAATTCTAAGTTAATGACATTTGTATTTAATTTTTGTAATGAATTTGACAGGAAAGGAACTTTAACTTAAAATTTAACTGTTAATAAAATTAACATAATCCTTACAATGTATTGATATCATTTTGAACCTTTCTCAAAATTTTCTTTCGACATTTTAGTCTTATAGTGTCTTCGTTTCACTGCAGCACTTCACATTCGGTTCAGCAAAAAATTCCAGTAGTGATACACATCAACATCAAAACGTCAGCAACGTAGTGTCTCCCTGCCATTCAAAAAGCTAAAGTACTGTTCATTTCAATTCTATTAAGAGAGATGTAAGTATTCAAACACTTAGAACCTAGTATAATGCAGATATGTCTGGTAATTACAAATTTATTATTAATTAATATAAATTTAACTTTTGCTACCTTGTACGAAGTAAAGGAAGTATTGTAATCACAAAAAATTCCGGGTATCATATTTCAACTAAAATATCCATTTTGACCAATATATCGAATGCAATTTAACGATGTGTTTGCGTGACATCTGTATGTAAGGACAGAATAAAGCACTCTTTTTCCCAAAATGAATTCAAAAACTGATTTAAAATATATTCAGAAGAGAATTTTTCGTGGCGTCTGTACGTACGTACGTACGTACGTACCTCACATAACTCAAATAACCGAATAGCCTCAGAACGTTGAAATTTTGTATGTAGGACTGCTATAGCATGTAGTTGTGCATCTCCTATTTTGGGTGCAATAAGCCGCCCTAAAAGTATATATATATACTTTTAGGGAGGCTTAACAGAGTGGGTATATATATATACCCACTCTGTTACTCGGCTCAGTGAGCTCAGTTTTTTTATTCTTATATGTTGGTAAATTGTGCATTTTTTACTTTAAAAAATGATTGAATTATGTTATTCTTATCTTCCGGTTAAGGTTTTTATGCCTTTAGTTAATCTGTATGCAATATTTGTAGAATTATCAACAATTTAAAAGTTGTTTAAGTACGGCTAAGGCTTTTTTTTTTTTTTTTTTTTTTTTTTTTACTACAGAAGGCATATTTGTTTACACTTGAAACTTAACAGAATTTTGAATTAAGTCAGCTTCTGCACCTTCAATGTTTTTTTGCGAGTAGGACCAAAAGAAAACTTTTAGTTTTGAGCCCCAAAATGTCTGCCTTCTTACGTGCTGGCCGAATTGCTTGTTTTTGCGTAGAAACTGTAATTTTAATTGTAAAATATGTTTTTTAATTTGTAGGGTTTATATTTATTTTAACTAACATTTATTTTAAGTTTAAACTATCTTTCCTATCAAGCCTTACTTTCCCCTGGAACTGCCAATGCCAGAGTATGTAAATTTTAGTAGAACGCGCAAGGATTCAAATTATCAGCGGAAGTATTCTGATTTAAATAGAAAGGAAACGAGTTCGAGGTGTGCTGTTCGTACTTCACGAGCGCGGAGGTAGTTAGCCAGAAATTGAAGAACCCGCGTTTCGGCCTGTGTGCTTGCCTCGGAGAATTGTTATCGTTCAACGTGATATTCAAAGTTTGCTGAATTAGCAGCGGTATTGTAAAACGCGGTGAGGTTAGTTACTTTTAGAGAGCCTCGTAATTAGAGTCTTGTTATTACTTTCTTTTCAGGTTCTTCTTTTTATTTTACCGCCGGGTCGGCGTAGATTGTGAGCGTCAAGAGCACGCAATTGTAATTTCTTAAGTTGAATAAAAAGGGACTTAAACCCTTAGCAAGACTCTGTCTATTTTCCAGTTTCAACAGTCACCTCTTGGTTGCGTGCAGGTTGGAGGCGCGCAATTCTACATTGGCGCCCGAACTCTTATCGAACTGAAATGGACGAAAATCGGATGGAAGCCGCGGGACAACACCAAGAAATGGCAAGCCAATTGGAAGGATTTGGGTACCTGGTCCAGACTTTGAGAGCGTCAATCAAGCCAAACGTCAATTTCGACGGAAACATTTCGGTGGCAATATTTCTAGAAGGCCTAGAAAATCACTTTCAGCTCTACCCTGTGCCTGAAAGACAAAAAGTTGCATCGCCACATCTGCACTAAGAGGACAGGCCGCGCTATGTGGAAGAATATAGGCAAATTTTATTAGGGGAATTTGGAAGCCAGACATATACATTTGAAAATTTCAAAAAATCGTTAGTAAAAGGCCTTCCCCATAGTGAAAGATCGAGCAAGGCTGGAAGCCGAACTATATAGTTTCTATCAACGGATATAGAAGAGTTGACGGACTTTATTTTTGCGAAAATTAAGCTGACGTATATGCTGTATGGGAAGAAACCCGACGCGGAGATTATTGAAATAATCTTACCAAGATTGTTACCTGCTGTTCAAGACTACTTCGAAATTAGAAAACCAAGCACATTGCAGGAGCTCTTCGAATTGGCGGTGAAGTTTCAAAATCGCAGAATAGCGGAAAAAGCTAGAGGGACATCGTATTCTCAAAGTACCCGAAGGAAATCTTCAAATGAGCAAACCAGAAATTCAAATCGCTCTTATTGCGGAAAGAGCTATCAAGCTAACTCATCGAAACTCGAAGGTCAAGGCCCAAAAAGAAAATTCGAAAATAAACATCCGCGTACCCAGAAGGCACAGATTGAAAGGAAAGCTTTAAATGAGTAGAGGGGCCTGTGAAAGGGAGGGTCCAGACCCCGAAGTTTTTAAAAAAAACCCTCAAAAAGACATTTAAATACGTCATCGTAAAAAACTCACATCTACCCAATTATACAAGTCCTGGTTGGCGATGTACCGTAGAGCCCTCATCGATACAGGAGCAGAAGGAAATTTTATGAGC